GTTTGACTTCGATAAGAGAGCAAAATCTTTGAAGAAACCCTTCCACTTTGTCTTTGAGTATACTTTTTATTTACAAATGATAACTTGGTTTCTTGGTTTCTCATTGCAGCTGAAGAGAAAAACAAAGGCAGATTGCCAATCCAAGATTAAAAAATCCCTCAACCTCATAAATTCTGTTTGGACATTCCAAAATAAATAAGTTCAGATCAGAAGGGAATTAAAAGAATTCTGTTATTCAGCTCTGTGAAGGAAACCCTGCTTTTCAGCAAAGATATTTTAGGCTCCCTCTACGCTAAGCTGGAGAAATTTGAAACACAGCAATCGCCGGCGGCAGAAACGCTTGTGCGCGTCATCGATTGTTAGAGTAAATAAATACATAATTGTGAAGTCATTGCTTTCGAAAAGGTCCGTTTTTAAAGTGTTTCCCTTTCACACAAAAAATATCTCCGGTTCGAAAAGCGTTTTCGAAAAGCTCCGTTTTTTGGTGGACATTTTTTTCCAGATTAGTGTGGACGGTAGGCTTAAACGTGGAAATAAAATATTTCTACCCGAAGACTTCACAAACGCCAAAAAATATATAACTGTACTTCAGCAAAGTTTTTTCTTTCGTTCTAGGTTGGCAAGAAACGGCACTTGAAATATCTCACATGAAGTTAGCAACACTGTCAATTGACAACATTATTAGCACAACGAAAAAACAAAACACTTATCGTTTGCTATTTTGCAAGGAAAAATAAAAACACTTGAATGACAGCAAATTGCTGGTTCCCCGCCAATAGGGCACTTACCGGGCTCAAGTCTTCTTATCTTATCTTATATCTGGCGTTTCTCAAAACATTTCTAATCACAGTGTCTTTAAAACTCAATGCAATCTTCTCTGAATACTTACAGGATCTGTGTTCAAGCGTATCTTAAAATCCGGTCCGGCTACGTGCATTTAAGGTAACTGCTTACTTAGCATTATATAATATTGTGCTAATGTAATGACGAAATTAGTTGATCAAATTGTGATAAAGTAATTTAGGTCAATGCACAAAAAAACAATAACGTTTCCCCAATTAATGTCCCCTTTTGTAGTCAAACTGTAAAGGAAATTAAGGGCTGAACTCATTTAACAGGGGAAGTAAGAAAGGTGAGCGATCTGAAAACACGAACTTTAACACACGGACTTTAACACACTCAGTCAGTCGAAGGAAGATGAATTTCACCACTGTCAACCGCACAATAATTAGTTGTGGTGTCGCATTTCTTCCTATACATCCCGAAAATATTTCTCTTGATGTTCGCGTTGTATTCATTATCAGAATCATCGTTCACCTTCTCATATGCCCTCTCATCATTTTGCTCAACATCCTGGTGATGGTTGCAGTGAAAACCAAACGACAGCTTCGCACCAAATCTAACACAGCACTCTCCTGTTTAGCCACAACTGACCTCGTGGTGGGACTACTTGTCCAGCCTTTACATATCATACTCTCAAGTTTTCTTCTCATTGGTCAAGGAAACATATTCTGCAATCTAAGCAAAGTATCAATAACTGTTACCTCCAAGTGTTTGATGGCATCGTTTACTCATTTAATTTTGATGAGTGCAGAGCGTTATGTCGCGGTGAGACACCCCTTCGTGTATGAGAACTTGGTAACTGAAGCTCGTATTATCATAGCCTCTGGTCTGGCGTGGGTTATAGCGCTATTGCTTCCCATGGAAGAAACCCCCAAAACTAAACCAGACTTTGTGAAAATCGTTGTAGTTTTTGTAGTTGTACCAGTTTTGCTTTATTTTCCCGCAATGATTTATTTCAATTGTGTTGTTTACAGGGAAGTACGCCGCAGCGAAAAACAAATTGCTGCTAACCAAGTCTCTTTAGAAGCGAAGGAAAAGATACTTAAAAATAAGAAAGCTTTTTACACAACAATTGTTGTTCTACTCGCCTCTTTTTTTTGCTATTTTCCAATAATTATCTTTTACGCTATTTTCGCTTTCACTACCGAGAGAAAGAGTACTGTTGGAGGAGAATCTGCTATTTATCTTCTTCCTTTGATACCAGTGCTGAATTCTTTGTTTAATCCGTTGATTTATGCTGTTAGAATAAAGTATTTTCGCGTAGCTTTCATTCAATTATTGTCGAGAAAAAGTATTGCACAAGCGGAGGAAGTTGAAATGAAAATCTTTGGACCAAGAAAGATTGGAATCATAGCTAATGTCGAACAAGGAGAAGATATTAGAGCTAGCGCTAGCCGAGAAGAACAACAAGGAAATGAGACATTGAACAATGAACACGACACTACACTGCGAACACAGCCGCAGGTGGAATTGGAAGAAACAGCTCTGTAGAGAGACATCAGTTATCATTTTCGGTAAACGTGTCACCTTTTCTTTAAAAAAGTACTTTGAAGGTCTCCGTTCAGAAAATCAGTTTCGATCGAAAAAGAGACATTTCTAGTTATTTATGGCTTTCTTTATCGGTTTGGTTTATTTTTGGGCCAGTCATGGTATTATTTTATGCTCTCCAAAGACCATAAAATCCAAGATGGCGGATTTAACATCGTGTCTCTTCAGAATCAAAGACTGGAGAAAAAGGTTTCCGTATTGCACATTTAGATAACCTATGTAGAGACGATTACTTTTTTTTATACTTCGTGTGCGAATTGGTAGAACTCTACACTCGGACTATTTTGTAAACTGCTGGAAAATTATTTTTTTCCAAATAAATGAAATTCATACATGTATAGTTTTGTGAAAATGTTATCCTTGAGTGGCAAAGTACGACGCGAGCGAGAAAGAGGGAGTTCTAATGGGAAATGTAATATTCTTATTCGACGAGTTTTTCGTTTTTCCATTCTGGACGACTTTAGCTTACCGAGGGTAGTCCCAATTAATAAATGAATGAACAAACAAACGAATAAAGCATGAACGAAGGAATGAAGAAACCAACGAACCAAGGAGACCACGAACCAAGCAAGGAGCCAACGAACGCACGAACGAATGAATCAATAAGATTTTATTAGCCTGTGGAGGTAGACACTATTTAAGTTAAGTTAAAATATATTTGCAATAATTTATTTCTCGAAATTTGCTAAATTACGCCTGTGTTATCTTTGCAACTAACGCTTGGAAACTTCAATGTGAAATAAACAGCTGAAGCACAGAGGCTAGAAAGCTGTTTGAAAAAAAAAAAAAAAAAAAAAAAAAAAAAAAAAAAAAAAAAACCT